GAATTGCTGATTATCTTGAATGTGTAGCGGTAAATAATTCCCCAAAATTATTGACCACAGCAATCACTCATTGGATGCTGACCACCACTGTTTAAGTCGACTTGTTTAGCTGAAGGCTTCCGGTCAAGCATCCCCGCCATTTGGTACCTCGTCGTGTCACGTGCACGATCACTAGCTAGCTAAGCGTTCGTCTAACGGCTGGTTTTGGTTCTAAATATATCTTGGTTTGGACGATCAATTATTGGCTTTTGCTTTGTCTTTGGTACGCGAGAATAAATTAATTAGAAGTTGTTGAACGAGATATCACGTCAAACCTTTAATATCTCTCAACCTTTAAACTGGTGAGCCCAACCGCGAACTTCATCTACGACAATTACTCAGATAATCCCGGTGAGTTCGTTCCATTTTGTATTTGTTCTTGTACCATATATTATTCGATATAATTTTCGTCATGAGTGATCTTAGTCCCAAGGTCATCCGTATCCGCTCAACTCCTAAAACCATTCAGCTCGTACCATACTGGCCAGATAATGCTGAAACGTGGTTTCTGCTAGCTGAAGCAGATTTTTGTGAGCATGGGATAACCGATCAACGTTCACAGTTACTTGCAGTTATTCACGCCCTACCGCGGGAATTCAGCAAGTACGTAACATCACAGATGTTGAGTCCCGAGGTAAGTAACTCGTACGAGTTGCTGAAAGCATCCCTCCTCAGGAGAAACGTTCTCACGGACAGACAACGTCTAGATGAATTATTTCGCAACATCGAGTTAGGAGATCAGTCAGCCGTGAGCATGCTGACAAGAATGAAACAAGTCGTCGGCCAAAGTCAGTTCGACGAAGGACTGTTTAGAGAACTCTTCTTAACCAAGTTGCCACAATCTGTACAGACCGTACTTGTGACACTTGAGGGTACTGTAATAGAGAACTTAGCTATTACTGCAGATAAGATCCTAGAAATAACTAAACGGTCTGTCCCCGAAATATGCTCAATGACTAAGCAGACTTCGAGTGAGGATCCTGCAATGACAGAGTTATGCAACTCCCTTCAGCAGATGTTTAGGTCAAACACGTATTCTAAATCCTCCAACCGTCGTCCTAAATCTCCTCAACGCAGGAACTCGCGTGGTCGATCTAAGTCCAAACCACGTTCACTGAAAAACCCTGACTGGTGCTGGTACCACAACACCTATGGCCAAGAAGCGAAGTGTTGCCGTAAACCTTGTAACTTCGGAAATGTCTCAAAGTCTGTGGTGATTGACAATTTCTATCTCTGTATTGTTTAAATACTTACTGTTGATTGTTAATGTTTCTTATATGAATTGCATTATAATTCCGCTAAATACAAATTCCTGAATTCCGCCCTCTCTGTGTTTTGTTTGGATTCTTGTAATTCGGTCATCTCGAAATACTAATACTACGATTACAATTAATTACTACAAATTGACGTCGCGATGGAACTAAATAACCTGGGAAAATTCCCTATAAGTGGTTCACCACGGGGAATTGCTGATTATCTTGAATGCTTCGATGCGTGGTGCATTTCAAAGAATGTTCGGGATGACAGAATACCAGCACATTTCATTGCTGCTATTGGGCTAGATGTATATAGCCTAGTGAAGAATCTGGCGTTTCCAGATAAACCTATTTCTCTGCCATATGCTAAGCTCCGTGAAATTCTTATAGATCACTTCCATGTAACTACTTTTGAGACCAGAGAGAGGGCTCAGTTCAACAAACTGGTACGTTCTCCCAATCAGAAGATAAGAGACTTTATACTACAACTCCAAATACAAGCTTCAAAGTGTAATTTTGGAGATCAGCCGCATACTCAACTACGTGATCGGCTAATTGCTGGAATCAATATTCCTAAGTTAGAGAAAGAGTTAATTCAGATTCCTTCTTGTACTTTTCAAACTGCCAAAGATTTATGTATTACATATGAGGATGTCAATAGTGAATACTCTGCTCCCACTACGTCAGTATTTGATGTCATGTTGTCGAAAGTCGAAAATATAAGTGTTCATGGAAAGCAATCCAAACTGTCGTCCACAGGTAATAGAATGCAGCGAGAGATCAAAAACATTAAACCGTGTTTATCCTGTGGAAAGTTACATCTACAAAGCACTTGCCGTTTTCGGGGTGCTAAGTGTCACAAATGTGGTAAAGTTGGATACATCAAGACTGTTTGCAGAAGTTCGAATACTTATGTGTCAAACCTACATCTGCTGGTAGGGAATTCCGGGGACGGCAAACCCGCAGTGAAAAGAAGTGGGAGCGCACCCGGGTCCTTGCCCTCTGGTGAGCTATCCTTATGGAATTTTCACGAGGGAGCCTATACCTACTCAATGGCAGAACGCCTTTGTTTGGGTGATTCTGGTCATTTGTTATTTTGTAGGCAGTAATCAAATCCCCCCTAAAACGACGGTGGCTAAGTGTGAATACGCCTAATTTCTTTAGCCTGGCTTATATGGTTTATTTCGGAAACCAACCACTCTTTTTGTTGCCCGTCGTTGAACTCTTTCCAAGAGGTTGGCGTCTCTTCTAAGCATTTGGGGTGCAACGATATTACGCACTTCAAGGTGTGGTCTGGCTTATGTTTTATACAACCTTAGAAAGGGCTCAGGAGTGAGTGCACCTAATTGTCTATGAGTATAGTGTATGACCGCATATGCCCTCGCTACATCCCCCGTGTAATTTACTCTTGTGTCCATTTTCTCCGTTAGAACTAGACCTAAGTTGCGTTCCGACGTTGTGCAGGACAAGCTTTCATTGCACAGGGTGTAACTTGCATTCTGCAGTCTACAGGTGAGCAACTTCACTACTTTGCACTTTTTACAGGTTGAAAGTCATGCCACTGGCCACCGCCCAGTCTTCCAGCAGGTTTGGATCCTCCTGTAGCCTATCTGAGTCCTCCAGACACTTTGCCGCCCACCATATTCTTACGTCGTCAGTGCATAGAAGAGTCGGATAGCTTAGACGGCTTAGTAGATCCAGTCATTAGCAATCTTGCAGACGGTAATTATGCCACTAATATGCCGACCTGATATAAGTTCCTTCAGCCTTCATAAGAGGAGTTATTCCAGAGACCCATCACCGCTTTTGTTGAGCATCCCTTTTCCAAAAGAGTGACGCCCTTTCTGAGCAACTGGAGAATGATGTCATCGTGCACTTCGAGGTTCAGTTGTACAGATGTTCTGTATCATCCTGGACAAAGCTCAGGAGCTAGCTCATATGTCTGTGCGTTAAGTTCGTTGCCACATATGCCATAATAACATCACCCATACAATTCACACCTCTTACTGGCTTTCCTGTTGAGTTAAGACCTAAGACGCACTCCCACGTTACAGAGGGCAAATTGTCACCACACACACAGCAACTTACTCTCTGTGACCTACAGGTGCGTGGTTCCACTACTTTGGAGGTATTTTGGGTTATACTACTGGCCAGTGCCCAGTTTCTCAGGATTTTTATTTCCGTCTCCACCATACCTGGTTCTTCATTGCACTTAATCATACTTTAAATCGTTATGTTGTCAGTGTGAAGATCTGGGTTTTTGGACGGTAAGGCAGGTCACTAGTGAGCATCCGAACCACAAAGGACCCTGGATAACGACCCCGTGATGCTTGTGATGCTAAAATGTGCCAGTATAATCGGGCACAATTGACCGTGGAGCATTATTCTCTCCCATCTAAGCAGTCCTTCAGCCATGAGAGAAGCAAATTGTCTATACTAGTCTGGCTTAGTCTGTAAAACAGATCACCCTGAACTGTGTTAAATACCCTGTCAAAGTCGAGGAAGAACATACTGCATGGAGAATTCGCATCCTGGAGAGGTGTTCAATAATTCCTAGGCAATGGTAAATATGTCTCGTTAGGTCTATCTGTCGTTTATTTGTACCAGTAAATCCGTATGGACCATACAAAGAATCTTTCTACACTCATCAAGTCTACCACATTATTCGCCTAGGATTTAGTCAGTTGCTGTACTTATGTGTTAGGCGAAACCTGAAAGACACTAAATACGCTCGGCTTGTGGGGCAATAGCGTCTTTTCTATTGTTGCATACTGTCTCATTCACGTCACAGCAAAACACTTGAAGTCACAGCGTAATGTTCGGCTTTAGAAGACTGGAGACAAAGCTGTCTGAATTTAAATAGCCTTTGACAGTACAGCAGGAAATTGAACACAAGCTAACTACTATGGATATAAAGCAAACAACTTTAAGATCTTGGATTATGAACTGACGAAATTAATATGCGTATGGCCGAATAAGGACCGTTCCTGATTTCACCCTACATATATCATGAACGTTTGTGCCTTTCAAGAATATCTGAAAGTATGAGCAGATTAGTTAAAGGTTTGCTCAACTTCTTTGTCGTCTCATAGTTTTTCATTTCTTTGGTGATGCGGTTTGGTCAGATACACGTGGTACAAAAATCATAAAATCAGTTTAGATGGATAACGATGCATGGTAGATCATGAAGTAACATTTCTATACCCCACACAACTAGATCAGAAAACCGAGATCATAATTCATTATCGAGCGTGAGAGATCACATTGGTTTCACTAGCTTACGGCAAGATATTGATAACTAGATACTTTTTCTGCTCTACCCTGGCGAAAGGATCAACTTTAATCACAGAAGTAACAGTCTTAACATACCTCATACTACAAACCACATATAATTAATCCCAGCACTACTCCCTTTGGAGTCAACCAAAGCTACGACAATCGAGTGGCGGGACAAGCTACGCAGAAGTTTACCGAAGGTCAGGAACCTATACCTTACAATCAAGAAGCGAGCGCAAAGAAATCAAATTGGTTTATACTAGCTCGTAAAAACGATATTGGATACACTGCAGTCGTAGTTCTGTAGGTCATTACCGCTGGTTTTAAATCGGTTGTTACGGACGCCAATGATTTTGTAAAGACATTTTGCTGGGTAGTTTTTCGATAACATGCTTTGCAAGACAAATTTATGAATAAAAAAAATCAGAAATGGTTTCCGGCAGTTTAAATATACCTATCATAGATTTGGAAAATTTTGAAGACCCACGTTTTACGGATTCGAAGTATGTGCTTACTAGTCCCAGATCTCTTGAAGCCTGTTCACGCCTGAGGATACCTGTAATTTCTTGCTTTTCTTAAATTTACTAGTAGCCTGTTGATCTTCTTTACAAAAGCAGGGCTGAACTTCTCGAACGTTTTAAAAAACTCCCTGCAAACAAAATTGATGAGCTTTACATAAAAAGTGAAGAACAAAGAAGAGGTACCACAATAATCTTTGTTTTATTTTCAGATAAGCTTTCAAAGGCTAGATTAGAAAGGAGAAGGTTGATAAGGCTTGAAGATTCTACGAAGAATGGATCTTCATTTGCCGATGTTGGATATGTAGATGGTGAGTTCATCATGTATTCTTATGTTTATTTACTGTTTTAGAATTCACTAAAATCCCTCAGAAAACAAGGTAAGAGCTCGTAGTGCACACGTTCCATGTGTATCTCTTTTGTGCATTACTATTGAATTCAGAATGCTTTTGACACAAATGCATTACAAAATTCCGCTGTCTTTATGCTCAGTATTATCTATTTTTGAGAAATATATTGGTTTAAAAACTCTCGGCGATTAATCAACGTATATCATTTAATAATGTAGCTATTAAAAGATTAACCTTAGAGTAGTTCTTTTCAGAAGAATGTTAGTGACAAGTTTTCATGCGTAGAGTAGTGCTCCTGTCTTTACCCTTTCTTTCCTGTCATACAGATTCTTCCCTCCCTCGCATGTTGGTGTTTATGCTGAAACCTTTGACGTTTCTCAATGAGCCACTGTTAAATAATATAGCGATCGTTTTAGTAAAATAAATACATACCACATCGATATTATATCATTCTTCACAACTTCTACTTATGTTCTCTTCATTGAAAGTAAATTCACTGGTAAAGAGCATTTAGGCCACAAGCCATGTCTGATTTGTTCTAGTAAGTCGCGTCTTTCTCTTTATTCAATACTTTATCCATTGTACTTTTGGCATTACCTTATTGTCATTATCATATCCCTTTCCACATGAGTCGTGTATGTTTCTGCAAATGATGATATTCAGATAAATTTCACGGTTCATTATAAGCTATTCAAAAACTAAGTCATTTCGCACGAATTGGTTGCTTTAAACATATACATTTCTTGATGATTCTCTTTGGAATTGTTATAGATGGCTGAATTTTTGTTGTCGGTTCATGATTAAAGAAATTTTCAAAGCTGTTGGATTTTAATCATTATTCAACTGAGGAAACTTATACTGGACATTTGCTATTAGTTTGTTTTTCTATTTTGTCTGACAGTTCCCTATAAGCTATTGCGACGTATATGTAAAAGACCAGTGATTTTATATTGTTTGTTGCAATTCGTCCCCATATATATTTTTTGTAACAGAAAGATTTTTCCGAATAAATTAAAAACACCGTGCCATAAATAAGGACATGAGTCTGCTCTCCGGTTTGTGCAGAGCTATGATCGTGTTAAATATAATATGCAGTGCAACGGAATTTTTTCACCTCGGAATAATAAAGTAAATGGGAAGTAAAGTATAATTATAAGACATCACCACTCAATCTTTGGTGATATACACTTTTTTGCTTGAATTGTAGCCACTGGTTCATCTATCTACCGAGATTTAGATAACCAGGTGATATCATCATCCCTCTTTCAGCAGATTTTGCTCGGTAGTTGGAGGCAATCTTCAAGATGCTCTAGACGTATGTTTACTGCTTAGCGGCACTTATAAGCAAGATGAGTCTTCAATCTCCGGTGATTGGAGCCCACCTCGCCTAATGTTGAAGTTGGAGTTATTATTATTAAGCTATTTGGGGTCACAATTTATTTCCCATAGGACTATTAATGCATGCATTAACTAATTATTATACGGTAACCACTGTCATATGTCCCATGTTTAAGGATGATGCTGACTGTATTCTGTCAGTCTATGTTGCCCATCGGATACAAATACCAACACAAATAATCTTTAAGATAATTTGATATCCATCCTATGGTTTATTCGTTCTCTTACGCAATAGTTTTAATTATGCATTTATCGATCTCGAGATAGTATTGCTAATACAAAAATGAGCTGTCTGATTTAGCGTCAAATATATGTGGAAATGCAAGATACATCATACCTACCTTTATCTATAAACTGATATATGTAGTGAAATGTTTTCCCGAATTCAGCTTATACAATGAATAGATTGTATTTTTTACGTATGGTTACAAAGTCAAAGTTTAACGGCCTGGGTTTACACTAACTCTTGTAAAGTAAAAAACTAAGACTTTGTCACATTCTAAATATCGTCACATATCATACAGCATTTTCTCACAATCTTTGTAGCTCCTTCAGTATATCATGAAAAGTTCATTTCTCTAAATGATGTCCAAAATTTAAATACCATCGTAAAGTCTGAAAGCTTTTTTCATGTCAAAAATGTATACAAATATCTTCGAACTTACAATGCATGATCAGTCGTTAACTATTTGACGATTTTTATCTGATTGACCTTCTAAACGCAGATATCGTCTTGAATAGTTTATGGTTCCTTGAATACGCTATTATTTTTAGACTAAAAAGCATGAGATTTAGTTAGTTTTCATTCGGTAGTTACTATAGATAAACTGTTCTTCTGAAAAATGAATGTTAGTGAAAAACGCGTTGCCTGTTATGCTGTGATGACATTAAGTATATTGTGTTCCATTTGAGATACAAGTGTTTATTCTGATTGCCTTTAACTAAGACATTTAGTCACTAAGTAGAAAATGAATAAGGTATCAGGCCTGATAAATACCTCTGAAGTAGTTTACCTAACGAATTGTCAAGCTTTTCATTTTATTCCCCAAGAAAGTATCTGGATTCCTTTTCTTTAAAGAAACTGTTTTTCGTAAATTAAATTGTCCCGTTTATACACTAATGCTGTAGGCAATAAATGCGTTATTGCTGCATAATTTGACTAGTCTTCACTGAACAAATTTTAAAACTGACCTGATTTACCAGCCAATAAATAGTAAACAATACGACCAAAATGTCAAAAACGTCTAATTCTGGGCGAGTGAAACATTCGCTACCACTACAGATTTACACAGGGGTGATGAAACCTCTAAAGGCAACCAACCAAGAAGACAATTATGTCATCCACAAATAGTTCGAAATCTCGCTTCATATTGAAATAAACGTTGGTGTTATCTTTGAAGAAGCATGTAAACTCTTCAATTAAATTACACAGCTCATAAAACAAAACAGCATTAAAAATATGTCTTCATCTAAGTCGTAATTCAGTAAACAGTAGTTAGGTATATTGTTGGTTAAGATAGAAGAAGGTAATCAATATTACATGTGTCCCAGTGCTGGTTTGTGTTTGCAATTTACATTCCTACTATTTTATATACCTTCCCTTCTGGCTATTTTTCCGAAAATTATGGTTATTTTCATTATTTTCAAGAAATGTAACTGAATACCATTGTGCATCGGTGGCACAGTGGTTAGGATCCTCGCCTACCGTGCACATGGTCCGGGGTTCAAGCCCACGCCGACGCACACCCGATATCTATGGTCAGCCTGCGAATTTTGGGCTACCGATATCCACGCTGAAAATTCCATACTTGTACCAAAAATACGGTGTGGAATCAAGCTGTAAATCAAAAATTAAAAAAAAATAAAAAATTTCTGTCAAAATCCCCTGAATAAGTAGGCAGTAGAATAATATGAACCAAATAAGAGCTTCAAATGAACGATTTCCAGTAGAAATAATAAATTCTAGGTAGTTGGTTTGCGGGTTAGAAACTTGGCCAGCCCGGCACAAAAAGGATTTTTTAACAAGTTGCAGACTTCCATCAACAGCAGCCAACTTCCTTGGCTTCATACTGAAGATCAAATAGCCAGAAACAATTAGTAACAAAAATCTGTGGAACAAACTAATCAAGAGTTTATCGCTCAATAAATGTAGGAGAAAGTGGAGATGGATAGGGCATACATTGAGGAGGCCGCTGAATGAAATCGCGTGTCAGTCCCTCGAGTGGAATCCAAATGGGAAGCGACGAGTGGATCGTCAGTGCGAGGGTGACATAGAGGAGATCGTCTGAGGAAGAGATGAGAGATTACGGGCAATCGTGGAACCGGCTGAAGAGGACGGCAGAAAATAGAACAAAGTGGAGATGTGTTGTTGAAGCTCCATGTTTTCTCGGAACCCAAGGGGACAATAGTAATAATAATATGGTTAGCAACCCTATTACGTAAAAAAGACTAACACCACAGCTACTGAAACTTCAAGGCCTCAAACTTGAAACTCTATTTTCCATCTGGAATGCAAGGAATGCTAAAAATAGGTCATCAAAATGTGTGGTTACTGATAGCATTTAGACTTCACTAATTCTGAACATCTATATTTGCTCTATGGCTCCCTCTTTATATCTACTAATATAGGGTTACTTACTATCGCCCAACTTATACTCCATTTAATTCAATTTTGATTTTTCCGCCGATTGACTGGATCGAAGGGCTAGGTGTCAGGTTGACATGTCGGCTCCTTGTGCAGATGTACACCGACCACTTCGATCCAATCAATTAACGAGAAAATCTAAATTGAATTAACTAACTAATAAGACCCGTTGCACAAGAGGTGACTTTCGTGGCCCAAGTGGTCTGGTGGATAACGTTTTGGCAATTTAAACTATGGGCACTAGGTTCGAGCCTCGTTGGGAACACCATCATTCACTCACTCACTAGGAAGTGCGGGTACACCCAGACAAAGAATCCTAATTAGGAAGAAATACGCATCCTGGATTCTACTGTTAGTTATCATCCACCAATTGATTTTATACTCCACTATCTTTGATTTTAATTACCTTTATTGTTCTGTTTCCTTAAGCTTTATGTATAATAAAGGAATATGGGAAATTGATCTTGCATACTTTTGATTTATCTGCTTGTTTAGTCAGACACATAAAAGGAGTGCTAATAATAAAATTTTAGAAATAAATCTGTAGTAGCCTTAATCATTTCAAACTATTCTTCCATTCATGATTATTTATTTCTACTTCCTTAATGTGAAGAACTCAGAGAATTAAAAGTTTCTCACGTCTAAATGTTTTTCCCTGAATTAGTTCATTTTGTGAGAATGTTTTAAAATATTGGTTATGATAGAATTTATGTTTTCAAAAGTATTTGGAAATAAAACAATAATGTGTAATCATTCTGCTGTTTTTTTCTTTTGTATTGTTAGTGGAACATAGGGCTTCAAAGTTTCGGTAGCAGTTGATTTAACTTTTAAGGTTAGGGTGGCTAGCCTCACGCCCCACTTCGCCTGTTTACCAGCTTTACTGCTGAGTAAGCAAGGTTTAGGAGTGTATTGTCGGGGGATCGAACCTCAGGCCACGTGGGTGGTTGCAGAGCGTTCTACGAGTGAATCACGGACGCACAATTTGTGATCATTTACATATGAAAATATGACAAATTCAAATTTAAATATAGGATATCAGGTTGGAATCAGAGAGTTTAGTTAAATAGTGAAATATGCAAAATCAGTCAAATCCTTGTGAGCCAACACTTGGAAATTAAGTGAACTCTTATTAGTGACCGACTACAAAACAAAGTTGCCTGAAGTTCTAGTGAGAAGTCGAGATTGCTGAGGTCCATCAGGTCGAGTAAGAGGAGAGATACTTGCCGATGACACTGGCTTACAGGGAAGCTATGGATGACGAACTGGTGGAACATAGAAGTCACTGGGCATTAAATTCTCTCGCAGTAGCTGGATAGTCAACAGGCCTTGCCTCATGGTCTAAAGGTCATGAAGGGTGCATATTGATGAGGAGTGTCAAACTAGAGCGAAATATCTGTTCAGTACTCTCTGGTTTTCAATGACTCTCTAACTTACATCAATCTGTGACCTAACTGAGGATATTTAATTTGTTTAGCGGCCTTTTAAATGTCTTCTGTTCAACGCTTATACTTATGGAATGCACAACATCTTCACATTCATATATGTGACAGCTGAACACTGAATTATTTCAACAGATAAGCAATATTTGCTTGAGAATGCCTTTTCACATTTCTTGACCCATGAAAACCTACTTGTTGTTTGTTTTCTTCAATTTTATTCTTATATACTTTTTTCGATAGCAGTTGCTTCTGTTTATACGGGGTGGGGTTGCTAGCCGCCTGCCAAACCTTCCTTGTTTACCATCTTTACTACCGGGTAAACAAGGTTTAGGAGTGCATTGGCGGGGATGGAACCCTAGACCACGTGGTTGATTGGAGAGTCCTCTACCACTGAACCTCCAACGCACAATTTTAATCTTAACATCCAAAAATAGTTTTTGTTTTTTTTGTATACCACTTGGACACTGTAGTTTTTAAACTGTCTTTAACTGGAGGAAAGCTTGACAAAAAAGTGAAACCATTTCTCTCTTTCCCCTTTCAAAATCAGTTTTGTAAGTGGAGATAATGTTTAAACTCAAGATAAAATTATAGATTTTTCAAACTTTCAACACATAAACTTTTTGGATTCCCAATTAGGCATTTAGAAAAACAATAGACTGAGCGAAGAAATATAGAATCCTTTTTCAATTAGTTCCTCATCATCGGGTGGCTCCGCAATAATATATCGTTTTTTACATGAAAATTGTTTTACCCACCAAGTGATTATTTTATTTATTCAGGTTTAGGTATTGATGTGGAGGGGTTGGATTGAAATTAAGAGGTTGAAAGTCATCAAAGCAATTAACTAATAGATGTTTCGCCTCTTCCAGGTGTATTTACCATTTTAACAGCCTGTGCGGAGCTAGTTACTTGGGGCGTAGGATCAGGCAGATTCATCGTTGAATTTCCGAACACTTCCCATCTTGGTTTGGCAAAGGTCCGAATAAAACTGCTATACGCATCTCAATACTAACTCATCTCGTTGATACTGGACATCTCAGGTTGAATGTAACAAAGCTTTTAAAGTTATTTATCGTATATCAACCAATCTCTCACATGGTTTATGAGTACGACTTCTACATTCATCAGAGGCAAACGGAATTCATCTGAACAAGCCAAACGTATGTGTTCAAAAGAAATTTGTACACCCCCTTTCATTACTATGGTCAGCTACATAATATGTATTCAGTTTTTAAAAACAATTTTTTCCCTCCCCTTTTAACTATCTTTTGATTTTGTTATTTTTTACAATTTTTCAATTCTAGCTAATTCTACTAACTTATTTGTATTTTACGTAACTCTTCTGAACCATCCTATTCTTCTTAGTCATTATTATTTTACAAATTTCTTGATTATGCAATAACTTGTTGTTAACGCCTAAGAATCAACTTATCTTGAATTCCGTAATTAAATATTTTCACTGTTTCCTTCAAAACTTATATATATCTTGTTACTAACATCTATTATTTAATTGTTTTGATGACTTTAGACGTCTTAATTTCACCCCACCCTCGATCTATACCTAAAACTGTTTAACTAAAATAACCATTTGATGGGTAAAACATTTTTATGCAAAAAAAAAACTATATATTAGTGTAGAGCCATCTGATGATGAGGAATGCATATTTCTTCTCTGAATCTGTTGTTTTTCTAAATAAACTTTTTAATTCATCACATATAAAGTATAGTTTTGAAAGCTGACTCAATCCAACTGGTGATTTCCACTGCCGATGATTATGGGCCCAAAACAAGCGAAACGACCGTCCGGTGCTAAGTTTATTTCAGTTTGGTTGTCTCAATTAATCAGTATGGTATATCGTGTCATGTGTTTAAAGCGCATTATTACAAGCTTCAGTATGTTAACAGAGTTTTCTAAAGTGGAATGTCTTATTTCATACATTTGTTCCTCTTAGTGAATTTGAACAAAGCAAGAACTAGAGTTTTAGCAGAATAAATTGGTACCATCACTGTTGATTTCGTCGCCTTCTCGTCAACTGCTTAGAGACCAAAGACATTATTATATATATCTACAAAAACAATTTTAACATACTTGCACAGAGTTCATTTTAATTAAAATTCAATCGATCAATATATGTATACAGTAATATATATATATATATATATATATATATATATATATATATATATATATATATAATATTAAACACTATTCCGAACAATAATGATCATACACAATAGAAACTATCGACAATACGTATTCAGATGAAAGAGAGATGAAAGTATCCAGTTACCAGGCAGGGCAAGGAAAGACTGATAACTGTTTCTTTCTGAATGCACAAATCAGGTTTCAGGCGCTTGATGGATGGCGCTTTACATGTATCTGCGAGAAGGACAGACAGAAGGGCATACCTACGATTTTCTGAACATGTACCAAAAAGCTTATGTCTAAAGGAAACAAATGCTTAAAACAGTGCTATCCATTGCCAGGCATCTCCTTGACATGGGTCATGAGGTGGACGTTGAAAAGTCGTTCAAAATTATCAATAGGCAAAAGAGCTCAATTCTTGTCAAGTTTGCTGGAGCCATTTCCACCAAGCGCCTGAAACCTGATTTGTGCATCCAGAAAGAAACAGTTATCAGTCTTTCCTTGCCCTGCCTGGTAACTGGATACTTTCATCTCTCTTTCATCTGAATACGTATTGTCGATAGTTTCTATTGTGTATGATCATTATTGTTCGGAATAGTGTTTAATATTACATATATATATATATATATATATATATATATATATATATATTATTGTATGTATAAATTGATAGATTGAATTTTGTTTAAAATGAAATCTCTGTGCAAGTATGTTAAAATTGTTTTTGTAGATATATTCAATAATGTCTTTGGCCTGTAAGCAGCTGACGAGAAGGCAACGAAATCAACAGTGATGGTACCAATTTATTCTGCTAAAACTCTAGTTCTTGCTTTGTTCGAATGTCTTATTATTATGATCCATCTTCTACTTATACTTTACTGGTTGTCTTCCAAAGAAGTCAGTTTTATTTATATATTATTTAGATTACTTAGCGTAAAATTCACGAATATTCAGTAAATTTTCAAATTAATTTTATACCTTCACAAAATATCACTGTAGAAAATATTTTCAATTAGATCTATTAGAATTGAACTTGATCTCTTTGAAGTACTGATTCCATCGCTCCTTTGCTTTTGCATTTTTTTCAGTAGTATTTTCACTCAGCCATCTGCGAAAAATTTTGAAGAAAATGTCAACAATGAACCATCTTACACAAAAATGTATACAGATTTAATGAACAAATTACACCCAAATGTAAGTCCAGCAGGTTTGATTTTTCATTTAGGAACATGTATCTGATCAGATATTATTATTTTCAAATTAATATCCATCGCAAATTGTTACAAAGAAGCAGTTACAAGCTTTTCATTCTAGTTTGGCGTTAGTCAGTGGTGAATAGTGACAGGTTCACACGAGTTCATGTTTTCAGGATCTTCAAGTCTTTTATCAAGCGCATCGGTGGCACAGTGGTTAGGACTTTCGCCGTCTATATACATGGTCCGGGATTCAATCCCCTGCCGACGCACACCTGATATCAATGGTCGGCCTGAAAAATTGGCCAACTGATATCATATGCTGAAAATTCCATACTTGTACCAAAAATACAAAGTGTGGAATCAAGCTATAATCAAAAAAACCAAAATAAAAGTATATTATTCTGTTCGATTATCGGATGTGAATTCAACATTTTATATTTAACAACTTGTCATATCGCCCTACTATTACTTAGTGTCATCCATCAAACGTCAACTATCTCCACACACACACACACACACACACACACACACACAATTTCATTAATGTCATCGGTCACAATCTTCAGTGAACAAATTAAGAACTACATTTTAAAAGCAACTCTACTGAATTGAAAGATTGGAAAGAGACCAAATGATTTTAGTGTGTAGTTTTATTATCAGTCGTTATTTTCATTCTGATAACTATTTTCAAACGCTTATCTTTATTCGTCTTTGTTTGTGAATCATTTAATGTCAAATTCAATTTGTCGTAAGCTGTATGAAGCGCCATGTCTTCATTTAAATCTAAGCCATAATCTTCTTCAGGCCAATGCTGACTACCACTGGAACCTAGGATGCAAATTTTCTTGCATTTTGGAAACTGTCAGATGGATATATTTGCGTCCTGGTGAGCGATGGAGTCCCTACTGGGACTCAGGCTAAGTAAGTGCTGATTGCTTCAGACACCAAGACGTTATCCGCTGGACTGCTGAGCCACACCCTGGATTCCACTTCTAGTAACACTATAAACCGAGTAACATTTAGCTAACTTCAACGTATCTTAGAAGCTTCTGTACTAGGAGTCAATGTATCAACATGGACTGAGTGTTTCGTTCCAGTAAATTCAGACAACAGGAAAATCTTTGAAAATACTCACCAGGACATTGGGGAGAAAAGCACTACTTTTTTCCACGTTATTTCGCCTTTCGAAAGGAAAATAAGGTCTCGAGCCTTCATTTTCTAGGTTTCCTGACCGATAGCTGCTACCTTGACGTGGTGGTCAGGCTTGCACATCGCAATGACCTGAAAAGCTAAACTTGCTGAATCTATTGTTCCTGCAGGTCCAGACATGCCAGGAAGGTTGTTAAAAGAGCAGTTACCAGCTTATTGTAGGAGATATACTGCTAAGGAACATGGATGTAACAGCATTGAGGTGTTTCCGTCAGATTACCAGCATGCCAGCTGTGCTATTTCTTCACTCTGGAGAGAGGGGATTAGAAAAGGTCGACCCCGAAAAGTGTACATCCCGACTTACTTTACGGTGGTTCGTAACTGATGGGAAGTTTACTAGTACGGAACCAATCCTAGGCCGTGTGTGACCTGCCTCAAACAGTTGTCCCCTGAGCTCTGCGGTCATGCAACACTAACCCTCTTTCTGTTAGAGGTACCCGAAGAATCAATCAACTTCCATGGTGTGGGCAGCCGGGAATTAACAGCTGCCCACACACTTCCAAGAACACACGAAGCCTCCTCGAGATGGTTTCGAGGTTTCAGTAGCGGTGGTATTATATTTACAGAGTGGAGTTTGCTCACTTCCCATCTAACGCCCCCTCTTTATCGTGTTAACTGCGGACTGGTAAGGCAGGAGAGGGTTAGGAGTGCGTTGGGTAAAAATTAAACCCAGACCACATACGTAGTCAGTGAGTATTCTACGAATGAACAACCAAAGTACCCCTGAAAAGCATGCAGAATGAATTTGGTTATATTTCATAACTTCTAATCATCTGTGAACAGCGTAAAATCGTGTAATGAACCAATAAACGTTGCGGTCGCATGAAGGTGTTTGAGTGTAATATATAAGTAGAACTCTGGGAGTATATTTTAGTTGATTACGAGACCATAACTAATATGTCAATAGAAGCCTATGGGAGAAATTATTAATGTGACAACCAACCTTATTTAAAAAAAAACACTTCTGATTTCTGTGGTGGCTTGTTTTATTTTTATAGATGTTGGAATGAGGTAGTGGAAAATAAGCCTTTCACGTGGTTTTTGTGCTTGTCAGCTGTAACTGGCAAGGCACATATGCGTTATGTAAAACTGTACATTAACGCTCAGTTCTTATTCAAAAGTAAAGTATACTGACAAAATACAAATGGTATAGCAATGGGCTCTTCACTTGTTGCTTAACTCTCCGACTGCTTCGCAACGTACCTTCAGTTTATAAGCTTCCAGTAGACTATCAGTCAGTCCAAAGTTTACGAGCCTCGGTGGCACAACAGTAGAATGCTCGCCAACTACGCATGTGGTCTGGGGTTCGATCCTCGGTCAATGCATACTTGATATCATTGGTGGGCTTACAAAATTTGGGCTACATATATCACATGCTAAAAATTCCATACTTGTACCAAAATACTGTATGGAATCAAGCTATGATAAAATGAAAAATAAATAACATTACTATCAATAAAAATACTGACCTAAGTCAAATCCTGGGAATTTTCAATAGCACTTACCAATCCTTCGAATTTAAAAGTGAATTTGGATCTGAAGATAAATTATCCTTTCTAGATGTCCAACTTTTAAAATAAACAGATAAGACTCTACAAAGATCAGTTTTTCACTAGCCAAAATGGAATGAATAGCTGACAAACGTTTGCAGTTTTTTCCCAAAAAGCAGAAAAAGAAATCTCTTCACTTCTCTTGGGACTGAAGATACATGGAGTGAGAGATGAGCATCCTTCAGAGGCACTCTAATCAAGAATTGATATCCAAGCCCTCTTTCAGTGACTAATGTCTAAAAAGAAAGAATGACAATCCGCAAAACTGGAATGTTCTGAAGCAATGAGAATTGTAAATCTGAAATTCAAGGCAGATACCCATAATTAGTGAAGTTCTCCGAAGCCATTTGTCCAGAGGAATTCGAAGGATGTTCTTCACTGGGTCTCTACACATGCTCTTGTTAACCAAAACATAATTGTAGTTTACTTACTTCTGTTGAGTACATAGGCTATACAAGCAGAACATTGCCTAGAAGCGCTCAACGACACCTATCAGCATGGCTGTCAAAAGGGGAACACAGGGCAGTCAACAGGTCAACTCCGCGACAAACCACTACTTTTGATGACTTTGTATCAGTGAAAGTTTCATTTTGAGCCGTAAATTAAGCAAGATGAAGCCGTACATCTTCTTCACTCAGCCGAAGCTGTAACAATCCAAAGAAGGGAAAACTGGAACTTTGTGTTCAGAAACGTCTTTTCCAACTTCTTTTACTACCATTGCCTTATTGTCAGCTTTTGTTTTCCGGAATTATTGCATAATAAACTCTATGTAGTCATTTTATTTTATTATTTTTATTTTCGCTACTCATTTGAAATTCTTTGTTCTCATGTGTTCTATAAATTATTTCCGAATGATAATACTTCACTTGACTAATTAATTTTCAGCCCCCTCTCTGGACTGCTTAAGATTATTCACTAATTTCCACACGTTGTTATTTCTTATACGCGCTTTGATTTATCCAGTGACTAATTAACAATAACCTTTTACTTTTGTTGTCAATTAATGCTGAACATTTAGATCCTGTAATAATTGTATAACATTGAAGTGAAGCTATGAAAAGATATTGCTATACTGACTTTTGTGATCTTAAAAGAAAGGGCAAACAAAAGATACAGACAAAAACGTTTGTGTATTTAATTCTTTACTTCACAAGTGGGACATGGAGCTACAAGGTTTAGAAGTCCTCGTAACAGGGTTGTGTTACTTTTACGGATTGGAATGCTAGCCCCATGCCCAATCTTCAGTCCTTTTCGGACTTATTATGGATTAGTGAACCTAGACGAGGCTGAGGACTGCGTTAGCTGGGGGTCGAACCTGGAGCAAATGCATGGACCATTTAAACTACTGTGTGGTGGCACAACAAATACACTTACGATCTTAGAAGTGAAAAGTGAAAGACGCATTGCTTAAGAAATGATGAGAAGTAGTAGCGGGTGTAACGATTAGGTATCGGACCACATTTCTCACTCTGGACTGTTGTCATCAGATATTTGTGAAAATATTCAGATTTAATTTTTAAGAGTTAGTTTATAGGAGTTCAATTTATTTCAAGTCCGAACATGGATTAGTGTCAGTTGAAGAACTATTGAAAACCAGTATTAGAGTACTCGATAACTGTTTCGTCCTAGTTTGGGACACATCAGACGCAGTACGCACCCATCGGGTTTTGAACCCAAGACCTTCTGGTTACAAGGCATGTTCAGTGATTTTCTAATTGATATCAATCCGTGGTCGAAAATGAAGAAAATCTGATATGTAAGAAATCTAGTTGAGATTAAAGGCAGATTGTTGAGTGTTGTTGAGCTGACTGGTGCATATTATTTAATACTCACTGTCTACCTAGCTAGCTGACTTTAGTTCTTATTTGACATCTATTATGTATAAACACTTCCAGACTATTATTTTCTTCTCATATTTTCCAAAGGAACTTAAACGAATCGATTTAATTCAAAAAAAGTACCAAAAGAATAAAACGGATTATCCAACTACATCATCATCATCAGCGTCTATTAATTCAAGAAGTTTACAAAATCTTGTTCTTATTGGTCAGGTAGGTAACTATTAACTTGAATATTACCTCCAATTTAAAGTATTTAACATTTCTAAGCATCACTTTTGCCTTGCCTGTATTAATCAATTACGTACTTGAATGATTTCTGAAATCCATAGAAATCCCCACCCCACTACACCTATTTAGGACACCTAGGGAAAAAGAAAACATGATTCAGAGAAGAAACTCTTTTATTTTCGATGATTTCATTTACTAAAGCTGAATGTGTCTCATAATTTTACATTTAAAATACATAATAACAAGTAACATTAATGTAAGGTTGCTGAGAGAAGGGAATCTTGAAATATAAAGGGTCGTCCGAGGTGGGGGATATAATAAGGCTGAATCTTAAGCGATAAGCAGTTACATAACGCAACAAAATAAATAATGGACATGGAGGATTTCATCATGAGCTGACATTAGTTAGAGAACCACTGGAAAACCTTGGAGTTCTGGGTAGCTGTTTTGTCCTAGTTTGGAACTCTTCAAAAGTATGCAACCTCCAGAGTTCAAATCCAGGACCTTCTGGTTACAAGGTGAGCAAGCTCGTAGACCATTGAGCCACTGGGACCCGATCCAATGGCCCATGAATTCTAACTTCTACCGATTTACGACATGGCACCACCATTTCACAATGCCTTCTTGAATGAGATACTGCCTCATCTTCAACCTGCTGTACCCTACTGGTCACGGCTTCCCACTAGAACTCCATATCACTGCCTGAATAGCGCCAGTTGCCAGTGAGCATCAGATAAATTGTGAACTATTGGTTTCGTAGGAAAAATAATTAAATGAGCCACTGGGCCCAGTGTTTCAATGGTCTACGAGCTCGCCTTGTAATCAGAAGGACCTGGGTTCGAACTCCGGTGGGTGTGCTCTGCTGAAGAGTCCCAAACTAGGACGGAACGGCTGTCCAGTACTCTCAGCTGGTTTTTCAATGGATCATTAAATGATATCAGCTCATGATGAAATCTTTCGCGCAATCAAACAAAATCTCTGCAAAACCAATACTTGAAAATATTGAACACATTATTATCAGATTGGGTAGTGTGAAACAAAAAAATGAATTGTGTTGAATAAAGAAAGCAAAAGGATATCTTTGTAACACTAAAAAAAATTAAAACAATGAAAGAAGGAGTGGTGGTTGAACAAGTTTTTTATGTATCAAAAAAGCTCAAGTTTTTGTATTTTCATGGCTAAAGTTTCAGCGATACACGTGTGGTGGTGGGCACGTACTTATTTTTATTTTTCGCCTTCATGGTAACTTTGAATGAAAAAGTTGGTAAGATAAAAATCATCAAAATAGTTCGATTCGCCTCTACATCTTTGTCATCAAGTAGAATTATAATGTTCTCACATTATTTTGAATAGAACGCTCATCGACCAGCTTATCAGATTAGATTCATAGAAGCAGGTGAACTGGTCTACACACAACATATAGTTGGTTAACTGAGAGATCTTGTCCTTCAGATAATTATTGATAAATAATAGTCAGCTATTAAATTAATACTCTCAATGATACTGTAACTAAGGGTTTCTTTATGGAGTTTGAAATTGTTCTACTAAGGATGTTGGCAACTAGAAGATCTTTAAAGTCAAGGTTCATATACTGCATTTTCTTGAAGGTTTTATCTGAGAAACGAAATGAATATCCACTTAAGATTAAGACATTTCTTAGAAGGTTTATCTCTTCTTCCATGGTATAGTGCGTCGGTGGCACAGTGGTTAGGACTCTCGCCGACCATGCACATGGTCCGGGGTTCGAGCCCACGCCGACGCACACTTCATATCTATGGTTGGCCTGCGAATTTTGGGCCACCGATATCCACGCTGAAAATTCCATACTTGTACCAAGAATATAGTGTGGAATCAAGCTGTAATCAAAAAAAAAAAATTGTGCCAGCCAGTAACCATTTGGGTACTCAGTTGTAGAGGTTTATCAGTTTATGATCACTTCATGATAACTTTTTATAAGTTGATGTCCTAAAAGTCTCATCACCACTCCTTGTGATAGCTTTACATCAAGAAAAGTAAAGTCATGTTGCATTTTTAGCGTAAATTTTATCTTCCGGTGCCAACTAACAAATATATTTAACGAGTTGATCACGGATTGATATCAGTTAGGGAACCACTGAAAACCAGGGAGTACTGAACAGCTGCTGTACCCCCAACCTAGTTTGGGAATCATCGGCAGTACGCACCCACCACTAGGGTTCTAGCTCAGGACCTTCCGGTTACAAGGTAAGGTCGTATACCATTCAGCCACTGGAACCTGATTCAACTCGTAAAAAACAGAACTAACCTTTACAAACCAAACTATAGAAAATATATTTAATGTATTAATTTAAGCTACAAATGTTATCACAGATACGGTATATGAAATGCCAAAAAGAGTATCCTGAGTATGAACCGCCTGTTTCTATTTCCCCTAGTAGTGGGATTCTTTAAAACAAATGTCTAAATATTACTTTGAGTCTGACTACATAAACTTGTCAGAGAATTTCTTGGTTTTCATGCCCTACTAACTCCTGGCACAGGAATAAGGTCCTCATTAAATCTTATTTGATCCAGATGTGATTTAGTTTTATTGAAGAATAATTGAGAATATGTTGGAAGTTTAGAACGATTGAACGAATTCTTTTGTTGGAGGATTTAATCATGAGCTGACATTGGTTAGACAACCATTGGAAAACCAACAGGGGATATTGGTCAGCTGTCTCGTCCCGCCATTTCGGGACTCCTCAGCACTACTCATCTGCCAGGATTCGAACCCAGGACCTTCCTGATACAAGGCCAGCTCGTATGCCATTAAGCCACTGGGACGCAACCAAAGGGCCTATTAATTAACAGAAGTTAGAATTCGAGGTAGCTCGCCTTGTAATCAGAACGTCCTGAGTTCGAACCCAGTGGGTGCGTACTGATCAAGCGTCCCAAACTAGCGGGACGAAACAGTTGTCCAGCACTCCCTATTGGTTTTCCAATGGTTGTCTAACTGATGCCAGTTCATGATGAAATCCTCCAACTAATCAAAACACAACCCCTACAAAACCGATACTTTTGCTTTGTAAAACGCTGTTGGGAACAACAGGTGGCATGGTTTGCAAAGGGAGAACTCAAGGGTATATACACCTCAGTAAAAGAAAATACGCTGAATTCAAGACATTCAGCTCCAATTGAAAAGTCCTTCAAAATCATATAAAAGAGACGATCAAACCTATCAAAGATAGTGAAATTAAGGCATCAAGGAATAGCTGAGGCACTGATGATCCAAAAGCTCAGGCCCATGCTGTGTTCTTTTACATAAATTTAAAGTGTATTTCAAGCTGTGTGGCTTATGTGTAGGTTCATCCCTCATGTGTGGTGTAAAGAAAACCGCTTAAGTAGCCTTCGTGTCTAATTGGATGGTAACAAAAACAACATGGAATAACGTGAAGTTTACAATAAAATTGTTAAATCTGAAGGATTGAACTAAGAAATATTTACTTTTCAATTAGATCTTCATCTGTGGTTTTATTTAATCATATATATATATAGCAACTTCACTACAATAGAGAAGTTCACTAATCTAGGAATGATAAGTTTGTTAACATTAATTTTTTCAAGGGGGTAATAATTAATTTTAAAAACTCAGTGCAAACAGTTAAAGTGTAGAAGTAGTTGAAAAAAAAACTGAACAAATGGATTACATAATGCATAAATTCGGAAAAGTAAGTGAAGTAATTAAGAAGAAATAAGGTGCGTCGGTGGCACAGCGGTTGTGGCTCTCGCCGATCATGCACATGGTCCGGGGTTCGATCCCCTGCCGACGCACACTTGATATCTATGGTTGGCCTGCAAAATTTGGGCTACCGATATCACATGCTGAAAATTCCATGTCTGTACCAAAAAAAATGTGTGGAATCAAGCTGTAATCAAAAATGAAAAAATAAAAATAAACAAATGCCCAAATTGATTACGTAGTCAACATATACAGATGAAATAGAATAATAAAGTGGTTAGAACAAAGATAGTTTGTAAAAGGCCTAGGAGGAGGAGGAGGAGGGCGGAACTGTCAGGTTTTTACACCAATGTAATGATAGCCAACGTGAAGAAAGGGCCTCCACGAACTTCTTCTGAACACACAGGTTCTGACTTCGTTAGGAGGATACTGGTTGGTAGTGTTAGCTGCATAGAGAAGACGAACTCGTGAAACAAAGCTGATATTAGTCGAATGAGATAAATAATTTTGAAGCTTGTATTATTATCAACATTATGCTCACTGTCTGCAGTGTGTGCTTATACAGAGCTACGAATTGGTCTTGTTTGTTCACTACTTGACCATGCAGGATGATGTTCGAGAATTCTGTCATGTGACTAGCTTCGCAGAAACAATGAAACCATTAGATAAACATAGAGGAGGTAAAGTTACATAGTTTATCCTTATTTCTTGAACTTAAAAGTATAGTGGTTGCGAAGAGAACAGTGTATACCTTTGTGATTGTACAGTAAATTCAAAATAGCGATAATTGTTTATTGAAATTTTGATTTGTCACAAAAGTCTTTCTTAAGTTTTGTCACATTTTTCAAATATAAACTCTGAATTTTTATCATGCCGTATTTTCTTCCTGAATAAATAAAACAAAACTTCTGAATATTTTAGGCGTCTAGACCTCAGTCAGCGACTTGCAAACGATTTCAACAGAGTCACAGCAGCACTTCACAAGCACAAAATTCAGAACGAAACTCCACAGTAAGTGACATATTGTATTGTAATTTAAATATTCCTTATAATGATAATTATAGAAGACGATTTAAGTGAATACGTATTTTCGGTAAATTCTCATCAAGCTTTACATTTACATAATGAAATATTAGTAGTCATTGGTATTTGAGTCAGTGTGGTTAATAGAATACGGGAAGAGAGGTGTGAAGGACATTAAAATTGTACCTATACCTAAGTCGTCTACTGGAACATGTTTTAAACTTAGACCTATTGCGATTACCTCTCCTTTTCTAGAAACTATGGAAAAATTACTCTCTGTTAATCTTCATCCTTCACTTAAAGCCTTTAACGATCCCAGTAAATCGCCTATAAACACACACACACACACTCTACTGTGCCTATAAACATAGTAGAAGTACTTTAGATGCAGTTGTAGTCATGTACCATAACATTGTCTCCAGCTTAGACAATGGGGCTAAATTTGTTCACTGCACCTTTCTAGATTACACATCTGCTTTCGACTCAGTACCTAGGGAAACTTCGCTAAACAAGCATGCTGAAACTCAAACTGACTGTTAGGTTGTCAAATGGCTGCATTCTTATTTCTAAGGAAGAAAGCAGTACACTGTATGTCAGGGAAAGTCGTCCACTTCGTTGCTTACTGAGGCTGGTGCCCCTCAAGGTGTTGTCGTTTCTCCTTTTGTGTTTTCTTTCTTCTTGCATGACTTGCCTCACTCTGATGAGATGAACTTTGTTAAGTATGCTGATGATCTAACTATTTCACTGTCTGTTAACTCCCAGCTTGACTGTACTAAGATGAACAGCTTTCTATCAGGAGTTAGCAAATGGTCTTCTTCTAACGGCCTCAAACTAAATCCTTCCAAATGTCAGATTGTTAATTTCAGTTTCCGATGTAAACGAAAATTAAATGAAGCTGTTGGTTCCTATGACCCTTGCAAAATTGATGATAGTGATATAGAAATCAAGTCTGAAGTGAAGTATCCTGGATTAATTCTTTCTTCTGACCTATCCTGGTCTTCCCATGTCTTAGCGATTTCTAAAAGAATATTTCGTCTGACTTTTGACTTAGGGGAGTTGAGGCACTCAGGCATAACGCAACCTCTCCTCTTACAGTTTGTCAGCTCATGCATCTTACCTATTCTTCTTTACTGTTCACCCTTATTCTTTCCTGGTTTGCTTAAAAAAGACTATGTCATACTTCGTAGAACTGTGAAGACTATCTGTAGGACGAGTGGTATCCCACTGGGCCATATCGTCAAAATCGTCATTGATGGGCACTTGATTTCATGCAACAAATTTACTAAAGGAATTCTGTCAGACTGTGGGCATCCACTTTACCCTCAGCTCCAACCTTGTGTCTCCTAGGGTAAAACAAGAAGTCTAATCAGAAGGATTTATGCACCTACGTCTAAGTATAAAAATTCCACTATACCATATTTGGTACGTACTTTATGTCATGAAAATAGTGTCAAGCATGAACTAACTAACCATTTCTCCTACCCTTACAGTACTAAACTTTATTGTTATTGTACTTCTTATATTTATCGTCCTCTCAATTTTTTGTTTTGTTTATTTTTTTCATAAGTGTGAACATCGTTTAAGCTGTGTTACCACTGTTAATCTTGTATTTCTCCTCACTATACTACATCAACAGAACAGTAGCTTCAATATTCTATAGTAACATGCTAAAATTTTCAAACTGCATCGACAATACTGTTTGAAACAAACTCACTATTATTATTATTATCTTTAATACTCTCAATTCATGCTTCTAATATTTTTGATTTTATATCGTAAGCGTGGACAAATTCCTCTGGTTACTTTTGTTTTAATTTTTAATTTTATTTATATTTTAAGTAAATCAGATGCAATATTATGACAAATGCTGAAATATCCATTCTGTATTATAAGTACTGTCTGTTTTGGAATAAAAATTATTATTATTAATTTATGGATAACAATCAAGGTGATCATAATAATAACAAGCATAAATTCATTTAAGTGTTTATATAATCTAGGCAACGGTGAGTGTATGTAGGTAGAATGTGCATACTGGTAAGGGTAGAAGGGAAAATAACCATTGTCATATAGTGACTAGATTATATAATATTTATAAATTGTGAAACCGAGATTGGGATAAACAATTACAGCAAAGCGTTTGAAACTATTGGCACTGGGTTCGAGCCTCGCTGGTGGGAACACCATCACTCACTGGGGAACGCAGGTACATCCAGATGACGAGTCTCAAATAGGACAAAATGTGCATCCTGGATTCCACTGACGGTCACCATCCAACAATTGACTTCAAGTTACATAACCAGACATCGTTGAAGCATCTGCACAAGCAGCCGACATGTCAACCTGAGAGTGAGCACTTCAGTCCAATCAATTGACGTGGAAATCTAAATTGAATTAAATAATTAACAGCGCAGCACGATACTGATAATAGAGTTAGCACTACAAAAATAATATAATAAGATAACATTGAGAGTTATCCTGTGTCGTTGAGAGAGATAACTATTTTAAGTTTGGGATGAAGGCCAAAGGAGATAAAGAGATTGAACAAACGTTTTCTGGACACACAGACTGGTGGGTAGACTTCTGTCTCTCTCTCTCTCTTTCTCAAAACGCTCTCACGTAGCCACGTGTTCATAGATTCTGGCAAGTAAGTTCTATTTACTGGTTTCGCGTGGCGGGAAATTTGGTCACAAAAGGAATAGAGCGAATACAAACGTCTGACATTTATAACTCGACTAGTGCGCATTCTGGTTTGTCTAGTAGAGTCGGAAAACCCTAATTACAAACCTATGGAGTACATAAGCGCCAAGACACGAAGGGATCAAATAGCGTATCAACTTATTTTGGTTACTGAAAATCATGGGGACGCCGCTTCGTTGCCTTATGGATCAGATTTCAAGTCAAAGGTTCAAACAGGGAGGTTGTTCCTTTAAGACATCCACCTGTTTTAGTCTGGGCGTTTGTGTGGTATCGCAGCCTTCGTACTAACTGTGAGATTTTTCCCAGGTGGCGCATCTGTTGGTGCCGATAATGAGCCAAGTTTTTGTTTTAATAATAATGATAAATATGGGAGATCACACACAGTGAATGCATTCGAGCCATCGACAGCGACTTTGAGTGAGGTCAGCAACAGTTTCTAGCCATTGGTTCGTAGCTTCCTGAGGTCTCCAACCAGGCAAACCATAACAATCATTCTTAAAGGAAGTTAGTCATTACTGCAAGTAGTATTGTGACGACACAATACAAGGGCCAGGAAACAGATCCAGTGTCGAGAAAATCAACAGATATTTATAGCATTTTATGTACATTATTATTCGTTAATATTAGGAGAGAAACAGCGTCATCTGATTGGTTGTTTTCTTGCTGAAGGTTATTCTGTCATCTCTTTGTAACCGTCTCTTAGTAAGTCAGGCCATATATCTGCAAATCATATTTGCACGCGTTATGTATGCTGTGATTGGTTGTTGAGTTCCTCAAGGTTAAGCTCTGCTATTGGTTTTTTGATGACTCCGATTCGGGACGTAAACATTGAGATGAATTGTTGTCTACAATTTTGACTTATTCGCAGCCATCTTTCACCACAGTATTATTTACTGGTTTCGAAAAATTTTAATAAATACTAAGAGTTTATAATCTCCCATGCTGTTGTACTTGTCCTTCTTATGAATTGAAAGCTTACCTTACAGCAATATTCAGTCCGCGAAAAATAGTGACGTTATGAAACTGTACTGTTTTTATTAATTGAATTAAGAAGTTATTTCCGCATTAATTACCAAGTACACAATTTACACGGGAGAGAACACATTAACAAGACGCATTGTAGTAATGTAACAGCAGAACATGACAGGAGGAACGGACTAGGATGTCAAATCGACCGAGAATCGGGGAGGCGAGAAACACACTCATCAACCTGAAACCAATCTGGAAATCTTCGTCACTCAGCATCAACAACAAAGTTCGGTTGGATTTTCAATACAAACGTCAAGTCAGTCAGTTCTCCTATACGGAACAGAAACTTGGCGGGCGGGTCACAGAGAATATTTGCAACAGCCTGTTGCAGACCTTTATCAACCAGCAACTGTCTTCGCTGGATCTATACTGAAGATCAGATGGCTGGGCCGGGCAGGAAAGAATCACCAACAAGAAACTATGGCTGGGAACAAACAAAACAAGAATACACCAATCGCAAACCAACAAATATGCAGAAGAAAGTGGAGATGGATTGGACACTCGCTCGCTGAGGAGTCCGGTTGGTGACATCGCGCGTCAGGCTCTCGAGTGGAACGCGAAAATGAAGCGGCGAGTGGGACGTCAGTGCAATGGTAACATGGAGGAGATCATGTGAAGAGGAGTTGAAACAGTATGGACTTACATGGATGCAGGTGAAAAGTACAGCAGAAGAGAGAAGCAAGTGGAGACGTGCAGTTGAAGCTCTGTGTTCCTCTAGGAACCCAAAGAATAATAATTATAATAGTAGAACACGACAGTCTTTGGTAACGGAAATGTTTATTGGTAACTTGATGCACAAATACTGCGAAATATATACCCCTAACATTAAAATCAATATTTGCATTTATTCCCCATATTGTTCATCTTTTGCCTTCTTTTCATTTTTTATACACATCATTTCATAAGAATCTCTGATTTCTTCTCTTCACCATTTAATCCACACTTCCGCTTTACTTCAGTATTCCTGCAAAACACCACACATCTGGGATATACTATTTACAAAGTCTTGTCGGTAAAACCAGCACAATGGCAGTACTGTTGTATTATGAGAACAATCGAAATTCAGACAATCCGTCAAATAGAGGACAGTATTAGTAGTATTGAAGGTATTATGTGTAAACCTACAATGTAGTTAGTGAATATATATGATTGACGGTGCAAGACATATCGCTTGGGTATTCAAGCTTATAAGAAGATGTTGGTTAAAGAAACATTATGTGAAGAAACAGAAGAAAAGGTTGAGGAAGAGCTATGCATTGTGGAGAAATGCCTACGCCACAACGGTCACCCACAAAAGTTCATCGACAAGTGTGGGAGACGTCATGTTGAAAAAGTGAAAAGCAGCACAGTAGAGATAAATAAAGCCTATCTTTCTGCAGCTTGCATTCAAAGGTTATGATACTGTTAGTAGAATAAGATGCAGACTGAACGCTACCCTGAAAAGAACATATCCAGCCGCCAAGCTTGTATGCGTTTATCAAAGAACTAGTTGTTTGAGACAATCAAAAGTGAACAAATACCCACCTCATGTTACCTCCAACTGTGTCTACCAATTTACATGTACGTGCCAAAGCACATACATTGGGAGAACAGAGAGAAGGGTTATTGTCCGCATTTATGAACACATATCAAAGAACCTGAGACTGAAAGGTCCGAAAGCACTAAACAGTGCGATTGCTCGTCATCTATTGGACACTGGTCATATTGTAGACAACCTGAAGTCGTTCAAAATAATAAACAAGCAAAATAAACCTAGCTTGCTACGCTTTGCTGAAGCAATTGCCATCGAACGACTTAAACCAAATCTATGTACGCAGAAAGAGACAGTGGTGAATCTTGCACTGCTCTGGTGATAACAAAAGTACACAACTTTCATGAGTCACCCTTTTCTTGTTTAGAAAACTCTACTCTCTCATCTAAACATGACTCACCCTACCTTGTCTCGTTTCTTTCCTTTTTTCTATCGGCTATTAGATAAGACATTTTCTTTAGTCACGTAATCCACTTTTTTGCTATGCTCTTTCTAGCTAAACCTTGTTTCTATACACACACATATATATATACGCGGCCCTGTATTTTGTTCCCAAGCCTAATTGTCTAATTATTCTATAAATAGTCAGTGCTTGTAACTCTTAATCAGTTAAATCATTCCGGACTAATGTTACTTTTAATTCCTACCAATTAATCCTTATGATTGTGGAAAAGTATGTTCATTTCTTTAATATAATCCATATTTTTTAACGTTCAGGTTGTAACCAGTTGAGAAGAATCCTCGAAATAATAAAAGATGAGCTCATATTATCCTGGTACATTTGTTGTTCTTGCTTTGTTCAAACTTATAAGAATAATTGTACTGAAATTAAACGACATGTTGCTGAGTTATTCAAAAGACGGTGTAGTATTATGGATAGCCTGGCAACATGAAGTTTACGTTTCATTTGAATAATTGTGTTCTAATAGACTAGTTCACTGACAGTTCTATGTCTTTTGAATGACTTAGTAACATGCCTTTTTACTGTTAGTTAATCTTTACTTATTCAACAAACGGACTCAGATGTACGGCATGAATAAAACTGCAACTAGATATAGTCAGCGAAAAATTGGAACAACCAGAAGAAGAATTAGACTAATAAATTAGGCCATCTCACATGCAACTAACACCACCTGTATACGAGATTAGATTAGATTGGGAACCAAATAAACAAGCCCAAAGGATTCATTTGTTTCACCAATATATTAGACAACGTGTGAATGTAAGAATATTTACAAATGAGAAGAGAAACAGTCATGAGGAAGTATAATCCTGTGGAAAATTCTGTTAAATTTCAATCTTTAGTGAAAGTATAATCTTGTTGAATAGTATTCAGGTTTTGACTTATTGTATGTGCATACAATCAATATTTCCTGCTGTAACCATAAGGTGCTTCCATAAATTTTTTTCAAATTGGTAACATTTTTTGTTGAATGTTGTTCGTCATCTACTTAATGTGGTAAGAGAAAAAAAGTTTGTAGATTAGGGTAAAGAAAAGATTGTCAGGTTTTGAGTTTTGCAGTTAGTTTCAACGCAGATTTTATCACAAATCGATATTGGCTAGATTCGTCGACAACAATATCAAACCAAAGGTTCAGAAGAAGGAAATATCACTTGCTTCAAAAAAGATACTTTAGATGAAGTTTGATATCAAGGGAGACTTAGCGTGTAATATCCTCAAGATAAGAATCTCAGCATCAGCAACATTTTTTGAAGAAACCCTAAGGATGTAACGACAGAAAACAAGGGCCAGGCAACAGGTCGTTTCTTTAGGAAATCAACACATATTTATATATTTTCATGTACATTATTATAGATTATTGTAAGCAAAAAAACACCATCTTCTGATTGGTGTTTTCTCGCTGAAAGTTAATCTTTCATCTCTTTGTGGCTGTTTCTTGAAGTTCAGATTATCTATCTGCAAATTGTATTCACCTACTAAAGTCTGCTGTGATTGGTTGTTGAGTCAGTCTTTGTTCTTATTTTTCTCGTGACTAATATTGGGGGACGTAAACATTGACGTAAATTACTGTCTACTAATTGGGCCAGCAGCCAGCTCTTACCACACTCATTCCCCGTCACACACTTGCGACTGAAGTTGGTTCGGTCTTCTTGCTTCTTCTAGGGGCTTTGCTCGTTTGTGTTGCTGTCTGGAATCTCGGCACTCGCTGATGTTCACCTGTTCCTCTTTGTTTACCAATAAGATTGTGGCTGCGTAACCCCATCTCAACGTGACCATATGTGGTCCTTCCCACTTTGGAAACTGTTTGCCTGACCCTGTCGCAAATTCGTCGGTATTTCGCCTCATACTTTTATATGCTGCTTTCTCCCAGCCTCCCAGCAGCGTCCTAAGTAACAGCCTCATCGCTGATAGATCTCGAACGCCACTCAAGTGCGCAGAAGCCGCGAAGTCCTGCCTGAAGACCCATATGTCTCTATCAAAAACTGTAGGGCATAGGCTTGTTTTCATCAGTTAGAAGGTCACTGAAAACCACTCGTGACTATTACAGCATGAATGTGAAGCGAATCCTCATCGCGATGGTATTGGGTGGTGGTGGCGATGGCACTGTCTATCGTGAATCGAGTGAAGTTATAATTCGTGAGAGTCACTGGATTCCAAACATAAGCAGCTAAAAGTTCAACGGGGTTGGTTTCGTAACCTAAAGTTCTTTGGTTTTACCCCGGGTGAGATCTTCAATGCACTCCCAAATTGGAGCGAAACAACTATGCAATGGCTTCTGGTTTTCAATGCTTCTCCATTCAATATTCTATTTGAGTTCTAGTACTTAGCTGTGAACTTTTCGTCACCAAGGTATTATTTTGATTAAACATCCCTGTCATGATTGCCTCCAACCATTTAGCCACAATTCAGAGTGCGTCATGATGGCAAATCACCTGGCATGATGGCCACATAACGAATTTGACTGAGAGAATTCAGTCTGTAACAACATCGAGGACTAGATGCACAGCATTAGTCACTGCCTAGTGTTCAATCAAAGTACCCATTTCAGTCTTAAATCAGGGTTGCGGGTGATGGTCAGTGACGATGAACCCAAACAACTCAATAGTAACGTCTCTGACGACAGTGCTGGATAAGGTGGGCTATAATTTAAATCTCAGAAGGAAAATGAGTCCCTTGTAGGTTGAAGATACTACGCCTTTCTAACTGGTGAGTACTAATAAGCACGAAACCTAGGTCAAGCAAGGCATCCTGACTATTGGCTCCAAATATCTAACAACAATTATGAGTTAAAACAAGCGATAAAGGTTAATAAAGCAGGATTTGATGAATTCATCAAATTTCGCTAGAACTCGTCAGCTGAATACTCTACATACACGGATATATATATATATATATACTTATGAAATTACATTGAGAGATATAAGACTGATAAATAAACTACAATGAATTAGTCATGCAGAAAGACACGTGCGAATGTTTTACAGGTCATGCCCATGGTAATACGTTTTACTTATTATTCTCTACTTGTTATTACTACTATTCTACATCTTCTTCTTATTGTTGTTATTATTATTATCATTATTATTATTCTTGATTTATTTAAAACCATGCTTTATCCCTAAGATTATCTTAACTCACTTCAACACTATTAAAATTGTTATTATAACTATTGTGGTGAGAGCAGGCTGCTAGCCGATTGGTTGACACTAATCTACGTTAATGTCTAGGTCACTAATATGGGCCGTGAGAAATTATGAACAAGGCTGATTCAACAACCAATCACAGCAAAGTTAACGTGGCAAAATATGATTCGCAGATAGAGAACTCTATTTGTCAAGGAATCCCGAAACAACCAATCAGAAGCCTGCGTTTGTCTGCAACCAATCAGATGACTGCGCTTTTTCTACTTGCATAAGCTATAATAATGTATGTGAAATATATATAAATACGTGTTGATTTTCATAATAAAACGATCTGTTGCCTGGCCCTTGTCTTCTGTTGTTACACTATTACTATTGATATTAGTCTCTTTACAATTCTCGTTATATTCCCTAGTGACTAATTGTTTATCTAAGTGATGTAAGTGAATCGTAATGCAATTTATCTTAATTTCGATCTCTCATACTCTCTATCCCCTTATCTATTTGAACATGACCTGTAAAACAGTCGCACGTGTCTTTCTGCATGACTAATTCAATGTAGTTTATTTATCAGTCTTATATCTCCCAATGTAATTTCAAAAGTATATATATCCGTGTATGTAGAGTATTCAGCTGACGAGTTCTAGCGAAATTTGATGAATTCATCAAATCCTGCTTTATTAACCTTTATCGCTTGTTTTAAATTCGTATCGGGAAATAAATGTTTTCAATTATGAGTTAATTACAACTGTTTTGATACTAAAAATATTAAATGTATCCACTATTTTCTGCTCTACAAATTATTTTCTCTAATAATTAATATTATATTTTCCCTAGAGACGTGCTTCATACTCATCTTTGGATAAAGAAAGAAAGTTTTGGCAACGTAAACACACGCAAGAACAAATAGAAAAGTAAGTTATAGTGAAAGTATTTATTGTCTAGTGACATAACAATGATACATATATAAACAAAATTTAGTAAATCTATGTAAGAGAATCCTGTTTTTCACCTAGTCATCATATTTAAGCAGCCTATAACTTGTTAATTTTGCAGCAGAAATTAGTATTCTTTGAGTGAGAAATATTTCACTGGAAGAGAAAGACTTAGTCATAGCTTTAAACAGTATAACACAAATCATCTTCAGTGGATGCTGAAGGGTAGCTGACTGACTGATCTCAGCACAGAAATTTACACAAATGTGTGCGCAGAGCAGTTCAAGTCGCCACACTCCATGTAGTACACAAACCAAGAGAAGAAGGAAGAAAGAGATAATAAACAGAAGTGTGATTGAGAGGAAAAGTATAGTAATATGGGAGAGTAATAGAATTTTATTGATTATTATAAATCACAAAGAGTAAGTGTATCTATGCCATTGACAGCGAGGATTTTGAGCCATATCATCAGTTGTCTTCAGCATTATTTGGTTTTTACCATCCTGAGGACCTCAACAAACCAGGAAGTCTACACCTCCCTGCGTGGCTTAAACTAACTGTTGTGCATTTTATTTACTGATGAAGCCATGTTTTGGTTTGATAACCATTAGCTTTTTTTCAACCTCACCCTATGTCAGCTAACATTCGGTGTTGTCAAGGAAGGCGATGGCTGGGAAGGCATGCGTAATACATGTCGTAGCCATCATATTCGATGTAACTTCACAACCAAATCGATTGACTTTTCTGCCTCTTTACGTAGCCCTCGACGGCTAACCTCAGTATTACTCACCCCATTATACAAGCTAACCTAGGAGATAGAACGCAGACACCTATGATGAAAGATAGCTAACTAGCTTTTTCATGTCTTCCACTTTCAATGGCCATGTTTCACAGCTATAATGGAGGACGGAGCAAACTGCTTAGCAGTACAAATATCGTTTGGTCGACAACCGGATTTCAAGTCTACGCCAGAGATAGCGTAATTTGGCGAATGCCAAATGAGCCTTGTGTATCTGTGCTGAGATTTCGTCAGAGACCAACTCGCTGGGGCTGATACAACTTCCAAAATAAGTGAAGTGCAGCTATTATGATAGAGAAGATTTATAGCTCAGGTGGATTATTTTGAGGTGGATGTGTTCTCTGAGCTGGATAGTTAATTTGCGAAGCTTTCATCGCCCTACTAGGTGACATCTTCAGCGCATACTTGAATCTGTTGAAGTGAGCTTTTAGATTTCTCCACGAGTTTATTAGTCATCTCTCCTGGTGACCACTTTGAATGTGATTGGTTGTTTTTGTGTGTTATCACACCTTCTAGGTTACTTGTATTGGAACTGATTGTTTCTTTGAATTGAAGTTTGACTCTTTGTGTGTGAGGTTTCTTTCTTATCAGTTGATGAATATTGTCTATCTCGATGTGTTTATTGGTTGATGATTCACTGGAATACCAGACAGGCTTTTAAAAATTCTCTAGCATTCTTAGTGTTGGTCGTCCCAGTCGAGCTGATGTCCATGTTTTTCTGTGTGTAGTGATATGAGAGAGTGAATATCATGTCTTTTGACGGCTAGTTAGTTTATGTTCGTGGATACGAAGACAATGGGGACGTCCACTTTGGCCAATGTAGTGTCTTTCGCAGTTGTTACAAATAATTTTGTAGATGATGTTGGTCTTATCTTCTTTCGCTGTTGAGTCTTTTGGTTGACATAGAATTGAGTGAAGTGACTTTGTTCGTTTGTGTACGACGTCAATTCCTAAAGGTTTGAAGAGTCAAAGATTTCTGGGATGTCCTATATATATGGTAAGGCGCTTTTCTTTGTGTTTTCCTTGGGGGCTTTTGGTTTGATAGGTTGGTTGGCTTGGGGGTATATGTTTTTTTATGAAATTCCATGGATATCCATTCTTTTGAAGGACGTCTGTGATGCTGTATCAACGCTGTATCATTTGCTTTCTCTGACGTCAAATCTATCTCCCTGCTATTTGTTGTTTTTATGCCGATGGACGTCTCTTTACTACTATACTACTGATAAATCTTATCAGTAGCACACACAACACTGGGAGACACAACCACTATAGATTGGTGGTGAAGGCCAAAGTCGGGAGAGGGTTGTAACAAACATTCCCTTGAACATAGGGATTGAGTTGAAAATTTCTTGTGGCAACTGCCTCAGCTACGCTCAGCATTCAAAAGTGTACAAATCCAGGGAATTAAGGTGGTACAAAAATGTAGATTCATTTGCAGAGTTCAAATGACATTCACTGTTAAACAAAAATATGTGTAAAAATCGATTAGATTTACTAAACTAACACAAAAGCATATTGGACAGACATGTGACAAGTTCAGTTTAAAAAAAATATACAATGAACATGTTTATTTATGTTTAAAATGAGATTCAAAAATGTTTATTTCGTCCAATGTTAAAGGCAGTGCCTGAGTGTTGACAACAATCATCAGACTTTAACATATGTTTATGATTAGCTGAAGACTGTATTCAATTCGATTGGGACTTACGCTTTAAGTGATTGAACTGAAATGAAAACAAAACACGTAGATCAGCGAAGAGTCTCTTTTTGGTGAATTCATTTTCTTAGCTGTACAATCGCAAATATACATGTTATTTTTTGCATGTATGTGTACATTAAGTTTGTCAAACAAAATTGCAATTGGTTATGGTTATTTTTACGAGTTGATCACGGATTGATATCAGTTAGAGAACCATTGAAAACCAGGGAGTACTGGACAGCTGCTGTTTCATCCTAGTTTGGGAATCATCGGCAGTACGCACCCACTGGGTTTCGAACCCAGGACCTTCCGGTCACAAGGCAAGCTCGTATACCATTCAGCCACTGGGACCCGATTCAATGGCTCGTGAATTCTAACTTCTACCAATTCGTGATTTAGCGCGACCCCAACCGCTAAATCACGAATTGGTAGAAGTTAGAATTCACGAGCCATTGAATCGGGTCCCAGTGGCTGAATGGTATACGAGCTTGCCTTGTGACCGGAAGGTCCTGGGTTCGAAACCCAGTGGGTGCGTACTGCCGATGATTCCCAAACTAGGATGAAACAGCAGCTGTCCAGTACTCCCTGGTTTTCAATGGTTCTCTAACTGATATCAATCCGTGATCAACTCGTAAAACATAACTAATCCTTACAAACCAAACTATGGTTATTTTGACTAAACAGGTGAAGATTGGTAATTGGAGTTACGTAATACAAGATCAGTCAAGAAAATTGGGTGGCACAGTGGTTAGGACTCTCGCCGACCATGCACATGGTCCGGGGTTCGAGCCCACGCCGACGCACATCTGATATCTATGGTTGGCCTGCGAAATTCGGGTTACCGATATCCACGCTGAAAATTCCATAATTGTACCAAAAATACAGTGTGGAATCAAGCTGTAATCAAAAATAAAATAAATAAATTTGGGTAGTAACAAAGGTGATGAGTTGTCACAAACAGTTGTTAAAAAAGAAGTTATATAATAATATGAATAGTTTGATGAGTGATTTTCACTCAGGATACACATAGAAACAAAGTAGATGATACGAAATCACGCAAGAGTTCTAAATGAATACAAAAATTACAAGCAGTTAAAGAACAGGCAAACAAACAAAATTACCGTGACAGTAGAAGTGGTTGAGTAATTCTTTTTTGTATGCCCAGCTCCGGTTATTCTAACTAAATGACCAGAGCTTCAGCGATACAAAGAAGACGAAACCGTATTGCCTTTGGTAGTTTATTCTTGACTCTGTAGATTACTTTGAAGCAGGAGACGTTTGTTGAAATGAAATGATCAGTGTTAACCAGACTTTCAATTATCGCACTCCTTATTGCACCACTATTGCCTTTTCGCAACCATGCTGGATAGTGTTCTTGAATCCTCTTGGACAGGACGCACGTCGAACGACCGATGTACCTGGCTCCACAGTAGCAGGTGAACTGATATTATATGCGCATAGAAGTAGTCAGATGTGGGATCTTGTCCTTGAGGCTTCTGCAGATCAGTGGGCGACTGGAGGAAACTATTCTTAGCGTTGCTGCAAAGAACGTTCTTCTCAGAGATGATGTCATCCTTCTCTTGAGAATATCGCTTGCCTTATCTCCCTTGAAATCCAAGTTCATGTAGAGTTTCTTTTTAGGCTCAGTTAAAGTTTCGTTTCTCCGAATTCTTGGTTTAATATTTTTATCGATGAATCTTATTGGGTATCCATTTTGGATGAAGATTTCTCTTAGAATATCTAATTCTGTTTCCAGAATGTCGGGACTACAGATGCCTCAGATGTGGGTGGCAAGTGATTTAATTAAATCCCGCTTTGGTTGAATGGGTACTCAGCTATAGAAGCTTGTTAGTTGACCATTCCAAGTAGGTTTTCTATGGATTGATCTTCTAAGGCTGCCATCAGCTCTTCTTGTCAGTTCCACATCAAGAAACGGGATTTTTGATTCGTTTTCCATTTCAAGAGTGAATTTTGTTGCTGGATGGCAACAGTTAAATATCTTCAGCAGTAGATTTGCGATTGTACAGCTAAGAAAATGAATTCACCGAAAAGAGGTTCTTCGCTGATCTACGTATTTTGTTTTCATTAATGCCTGGATGGGGATTATCTATGAATTGAACTGAAATGTTCGGCCTCTTTCGACTTATTGGCTCCTTGTGTGGTTACTTCGACTATGTCTGAGAATTTGACCTGAAGTTATTTGGTGGGAGGTGGCTAGCAGTGAAATCCACGATATGCATTTCGCCCTATTTGGGATTCATCAGTTGGATGGAAGTCCTAATTAGCCTAAATAATTACTGATACTTATTGCACAAGAAGTAGCTCTCGTGGTCTATGTGGTTTAACGGATAATGCTTTGGCGTTCAAAATGACGGGCACAGGGCTCGAGTCTCAATTGGAGCACCATAACTCACTGGGGAGTGTAGGCGCATCCAGTTGACGAGTCCCGAATTGGACGAAATCCATGGCCTGGATTTCACT